GCATAAAACAGTCTACTAATTCATGGATAAACTTCCAGCTATTCTGGAAGCAGACTCTACACTATTATATTGTACTACATGCAGATTTGTAGCATATCAGGCCGGTTTTTTATGAGTCCATCCAGTTTTGTGCAAGTGTACCACCCTACAAGCACATCTGTGACATATCTGGACAGTCTGGTTTGGGTCTATGGGATACTCCACTTGCTCATGCACTATTATACTACATTGCCACATATATAACACATCAGGCCGGTTTTCATTCCATACATTACTCTGGTCAGACTTGCACTATCCTGACACACTACCACCATATCCGGCCTATCTAATCATGATCTACAAAATACTCCGGCCACCTATCCACTATTAGACCACACCACACTCAACCCACATCAATAGCTCATGAGGCTGGTCTTGTTTGTTCTGTACATCCATCCAGCCAATCTTGCATCACTTTACCGCACTGCATACATATCCAGCCTATCCAATCTTAGCTACCAAATACTGTGCCTACTCACTTTAGAGATTTTAACATGTAGATTGCTGCTACATACAGAATCTTGCTGGTCTACAATAGTTATGGATCTCTATTGGTGTGTTAAGCGGTGTATACAACACTCATCCGTGGCATTGAATGCATTATATAACATGATACACTCACAAAACACTAAAATGCATAAAACGTAATCCTGTTGACATACCGCAAGCTTTTCAATATAGCCAAACTACAGCTTTTGACCCTTTGAAAGCTTTCTTGGGATATCATTGATTGACAATCACTGCCCTTATTTGTCACACACAACACTGGCTTACCTTGGCTCCACATTTCTATTGCTTCTATTATCCTTCTCCCACAAATATGGTTTATTGTCATTTGCCCTTCCTGATGCTGCACCTCTGGCCATCCTCATTCACTGATATGTTTTTTCCTCATGTTCTTATATATACAGGCATTGAAATAGAATTAATGCATCAGCCATCTTATTTGCTCATCTATGGTGCAGTTCACTTAGGCGCCACTACTTTTGTGCAACTGCCAAATTGCCTGGCCGAAAATCCAAGTGTAACCCTAACCCTATGTACGGATATATATAGTAAAGCCCCTGATTTGTCAGCAGTTTGCAAGTATCCACAAGTGTTGCACAAGTCAGAAATTGATAAGACTATGCTTCACGCAACGCAAAAGCCATGGCAAAATGTCATAAGAGATTGGCAGTTGCAAACGCCAGAGTTAAAAAACGAGAAAAATGAGCAAAAGAAGTGGTGCAATCACAAGCAGAGGCCCACAACGCCGCCAAGTCGATGTTGCACTCCGTATCATAGAAATAGATAGAAATATATCTGAGATAATTGCGATTGCAGCTTCGCAACTCTCAAGGCCAACCTCCCAAAAGCAATGGCTTCTGTCAGTCTTCGAACCATCCGGTTATGGAGAACCAGTCCCATCGGTGGATCCAAGCATATCGGTCGGGTCTGGATGAAAAATCAGCTCATACCGAGGTGCGCCAGTTCAGTTCAACACACTACAAATCCCATCGGCGCATCCCAGAACGAATCGCGCAGCTGCTTGACCGATAATAGGGGTGTTACTTTCCTTTTCTGGAGATAGGGGCTATTCTTACCGCCGCTGTGCCAAATTCTGGCTTGCCCGAAATTTTTTCTTCGTCAATTTTTATCCTATCAAAAATCTGTCTTGTAGGATTGTTCGTTTACTATATAAGAGCATTTCTACAAGACATAATCCCAAAATAATGTTGTATGAATGATCAAAAAAGTTTGCACAAAAGTAGTGGTGCCTAAGTGAACTGCACCATAGGTCACATATACACCTACATGAGCACATCCTGCTATGTGAATCACACTATCCCATATTATACACTTGTAGCAAAGAGTCAGAAAAGTGTTTAATGTAGATTCATCCATGATCAGAACACTTCTTTTGAGGTCTTGTCTGATCTTGGTTCAACAGATATATATATGCTGTTGGATTATCAGAGAACACTTGGACCATCATCAATCCTTGTAGTGAAGTGTAATAATCTTCCAAAAACAAACTTTTTCACTCAAGCTGACACCCTTGTCATTTTTTGTGTGTGGATAGCATGGGATATAGGGTATCCTAAAAGGTGTGGGCACATAAAGTGTGACTAACACAACAAATGTAAATCTGGTCTTAAATCCACTATCAGACCATTGAATGATATGCAACATTCAGAATATCATATCTTCTCTGGTATTTTTGAAAGATTACCATATGCTATCATGTGTTTAAGGCAACATAAAAATGTTTATTAACCTGTTAAGTGTGTAATGAGACTTCCACAACTATTACAGAGTGTTCAAATCTCTATAGCTTGCTGATAACAAACTTAACTCTGTAAAAGCTTATAAGCAAGCTAAGGCAGGCAAACACCCATTAAGGGCTCTAAAACAACACCAGGAGCAAGGATCAGCAACTTGCTTACAGTGCGGTAAAGTGATGCAAGATTGGCTGGATGGATGTACAG